TGTAGAGCAGGTACGGGGTCCACATGGGATCCATGGGTGCATAGAGCAGGTACGAGGTCCGTATGGGATCCGTAGGTGTGTGGAGCATGCAGGGACAGGTACAGGGTCCATATGGAATCCATAGGTGCGTAGAGCAGCTACGGGGTCCGTACGGGTTCCATGGGTGCATAGAGCATGCAGAGACCGGTATGGGGTCAGTATGGGATCCATAGGTGTGTAGAGCAGGTACGGGGTGCGTATGTGATCCATGGGTGCGTAGAGCATGCAGGGACAGGTATGGGGTCAGTATGGGATCCATAGGTGCATAGAGCAGGTACGGGGTCCGTATGGGATCCACGGGGGCGTAGAGCATGCAGAGGCAGGTACGGCATCAGTATGGGATCCATGGATGTGTAGAGCAGGTAGGGGGTCCGTATGGGATCCATAGGTGCGTAGAGCATGCAGGGACAGGTATGGGGTCAGTATGGGATCCATGGGTGCATAGAGCAGGTACAGGGTCCATATGGGATCGATGGGTGCATAGAGCATGCAGGGACAGGTACAGGGTCCGTATGGGATCCATGGGTGCATAGAGCAGGTACAGGGTCCATATGGGATCGATGGGTGCATAGAGCATGCAGGGACAGGTACAGGGTCCGTATGGGATCCATGGGTGCATAGAGCAGGTACAGGGTCCATATGGGATCGATGGGTGCATAGAGCATGCAGGGACAGGTACAGGGTCCGTATGGGATCCATGGGTGCATAGAGCAGGTACAGGGTCCATATGGGATCGATGGGTGCATAGAGCATGCAGGGACAGGTACAGGGTCCATATGGAATCCATAGGTGCGTAGAGCAGCTACGGGGTCCGTACGGGTTCCATGGGTGCATAGAGCATGCAGAGACCGGTATGGGGTCAGTATGGGATCCATAGGTGTGTAGAGCAGGTACGGGGTGCGTATGTGATCCATGGGTGCGTAGAGCATGCAGGGACAGGTATGGGGTCAGTATGGGATCCATAGGTGCATAGAGCAGGTACGAGGTCCGTATGGGATCCATAGGTGTGTGGAGCATGCAGGGACAGGCACAGGGTCAGTATGGAATCCATAGGTGTGTAGAGCAGGTATGGGGTCCGTATGACATCCATGGGTGCATAGAGCAGGTACAGGGTCCGTAGGGGATCCATAGGTGCGTGGAGCATGCATGGACAGGTACAGGGTCCGTATGGGATCCATAGGTGCGTAGAGCAGCTACAGGGTGCATATGCGATCCATGGGTGCGTAGAGCATGCAGGGACAGGTATGGGTCAGTATGGGAACCATAGGTGCCTAGAGCAGGTACAGGGTCCATACGGGATCCACGGGGGCGTAGAGCATGCAGGGGCAGGTATGGGGTCAGTATGGGATCCATAGTCATGTAGAGCAGGTACGGGGTCCACATGGGATCCATGGGTGCATAGAGCAGGTACGAGGTCCGTATGGGATCCGTAGGTGTGTGGAGCATGCAGGGACAGGTACAGGGTCCATATGGAATCCATAGGTGCGTAGAGCAGCTACGGGGTCCGTACGGGTTCCATGGGTGCATAGAGCATGCAGAGACCGGTATGGGGTCAGTATGGGATCCATAGGTGTGTAGAGCAGGTACGGGGTGCGTATGTGATCCATGGGTGCGTAGAGCATGCAGGGACAGGTATGGGGTCAGTATGGGATCCATAGGTGCATAGAGCAGGTACGGGGTCCGTATGGGATCCACGGGGGCGTAGAGCATGCAGAGGCAGGTACGGCATCAGTATGGGATCCATGGATGTGTAGAGCAGGTAGGGGGTCCGTATGGGATCCATAGGTGCGTAGAGCATGCAGGGACAGGTATGGGGTCAGTATGGGATCCATGGGTGCATAGAGCATGCAGGAGCAGCTATGGTGTTTGTATGGGATCCATAAGTGCGTAGAGCATGCAGGGACAGGAATGGGGTCAGTATGGGATCCATAGGTGTGTAGAGCACGCAGGGGCAGGTATGGGGTCAGTATGGGATCTGTGGGTGCGTAGAGCAGGTACGGGGTCCGTATGGGATCCATGGGTGCGTAGATCATGCAGGGGCAGGTATGGGGTCCGTATGGGATCCATAGGTGCGTGGAGCATGCAGGGGCAGGTACAGGGTCCGTATGGGATCTATAGGTGCGTAGAGCAGCTACAGGGTCCGTACGGGATCCATGGGTGCATAGAGCATGCAGGGACAGGTAGAGGATGCTGGGGTGGGGATGGCATCCGGGAGCACATATAGGATCCCCGGGAACATATAGAATTCCAGGGAAAGTGTAAGATATGAGGGCAAATATAGGATTCTATACCTGCCCCAGGTTATCCTATACCCGTGCCTGCAGTTATAGGAGCCTATATACTTGCCCCACGATCGCTATATGATTCAAGGGCAGCTATAGGATCCTGAAGCAGAGATTAAATCCCTCATGACCCCGGGGGGGACCTGCAAAAATCACCGCAAAGGGGCTTTTGATTTTTATTTTTATTTTTATTTTTTTTCCGGGGAAGCCCCCGCCCCAAAAAAAAAAAAAAACCCAAAAACCCCTCTGAGCCAAAGGCGTTGCAAAAAAAAATCACCTAAAACTCCCAACGGGCGGGAAATCCCCCCAACTGAACCCTATTTTTGAACAACCCCCCCCACCTTTTTTTTTATTTAAAAAAAAAAAAAAAAAAAAAAAAACCCTCCCCCCCCTCCAACCAAAA